CTGTTTGACCTGCAGATGCACATATACCTGTCCCCACCCGACTCCATCCATGGTCTATAACAGCACAGTCCATCTGTTCTCCACTTGTAGGTCAGCCCTCAAACTTTGGCTGATGCAGGCTGACTTCCACACCACTCACATTAAAAGTCTCATTATTAGCCCTGGTAAGTTTCATAGGATGAACCAGAGTATTGAAAGAAAAACAAAGGAAATTAAATGATTAAGAAGTACATTGCACAGCAAAACAAGAGCAATTTAAAGTAAAACCGTGCAAAAAACAAAACTATTATTATATCTACATATCAAGAGAAATGTGTTGCCTTATCAGCTGTTTAGTATCTCTGGTAGGTAAGCTGTACATTTCATATAACTTAATTGAAAACTTATCACAGGTATACTGCCCCATTCAGACACCACCATGTTTTATGTCCACAGTCCAGTGTCAGGGGTGCTCTGCTTACAAGATGGTTTGAAGGCAGAATAGGAATGCATGAAACTTTGCTTTCACTGTCAGTAAATAAATGCTAATTTTCTTTAACTTGAGAAGATGTTTTCTGAAATAAAAACATACAACCCATCTATATGTTAATAGCTGACTGTTTTAGTATGTCTCTCAGGGTTTCTGTGACTATAAATATGTCATCTGAGTTTTGACTTTTAATGCACTGATTACCAGTTCTGACAATAAATATGGCTTTCACCTTAAGAACAATACAAAGTATAATGAATTTCCCTAGTAACAATATGACAAGGTTTGTTGAATATACCTTAGCGTCTGGTATCTGTGATGTTGGGAAGATGCCTAACGCTTTATGGGACCAGGGGCCACCACAGTGTGATGATCACTTCCCTGAGACAGTGCTGAGAAAATTGTTTTGAAATGGCATGTGGAGTTAATGACAGAACTGTGAAGTATGCAATTAAGGCTTATTTAAATACCATGATTAAAAGTAAGTTAGTTAACATATGATCAGGTGACCATTTTAGGTCTAGACTCTGTGTATCTGATAGTAGAATACATGTTATTATAAAACACTCAAAACCAAATGTATCTTTACATAAAATATGTTTCAAAGTTCTTTCATGACTTCATATGTGAGTGAAATGGTAATGAATCACTTTTTCTAGGAAGAATCATTTCAGAGTGTTTTTATGGTCATGTTTTCCCCTCTTTAATCTTGTCCATCAAAGTCAGAAGCATGAATGTAGAATACATTTTTGCTGAGAAAGGTAACGATGGGGCAGAACCAACATGGTGAAAAGAGCAAAGTAGCAGGCAGAGTTTGCAAACAGACACACACCCACAGATTGCAGCCTAAGCCAAAAGGGAGACGTTCTCTCCAGCTAGATTTCCCAGCATACATTATATATATATATATATATATATATATATTGCATATAGAGTCAAATGGGCTATATAATTCTGGAAGGAGTGAAGTTCACAAGAAATAGACTAAGATAATTAAAAGCCTCTCATTTCTTCAGCTTCTAGGAGGAAGGCCTGGGCTGTCTTTTTGATGCTTTTGCAGCTGAGTTTTCATTACTGTGTGGGTTCTCGGCATCAAATCTGAGCAACAAATGTTTTTCCTTCTTTACATTTGTACTTGGTTATGGCTTCATAAGCCCCATCTTCCAAGAGTTGGTGGGAGGTGACAAAAACATGAAAGGTCTGGGGAGCACAGCCTTTCAGTGGGAAGAGCGCCAGGGCTGGGAAGCTGGGCCTTCCACATGGCATGCTGGAGCAGCTTATAGGGGCTCAGACAGTCAGTTTCTTAAGTTTTCAAGATTTTTGTGAGCCAGTTGTTCACAAAACTGTAACTATTATTAAAAATTGAATTACACAAATTTAGAGACATCCTATTCCAAACAGAGGTAATAAATATTTAAAGATCTTTTTTAAATTATTTGACCATGTTCTACTTACCTGTGATTTTGAGTTGTTTATGCCTCTAATTTTATCTGCCAAGTGAAAATACTATGTAAAGATGTACTTGAAGTATTTATAGCAAATAAACTGGAAAATGCTACAAATTGGGGTGTGACTTATTATTGACTGATTGCCTAGGCTTAAATTTACGGGTATACAAGGAAAGAGTTTTCCAGACAGCTAATCAGTTATTCATGAACTCACAACAATAGTGACAGCATGAAATCCCATGTAAGCTCAAACCAGACAAAATCCCAGTATAAACATGAGAAAATAAGTGAGAAATCCTAAGCCTACCTAAGGAACTATTAGCAACTGATGATTGCTGGGATGGATGGAGGGAGTCAGTCTCTTTCAAGGGTATGACTCTGGATAGGTTAAAGAAGCTTCAGTGGATGAAGCCACACTTCTTAAGGACATTTAGGGACACAAATTCGACTTTATAGGAAAAAAAATATATATATATATACATGTAGAGTGTATTAAGTGGGTAGAGAGTAGCAAGGGAAGGTGAAGATAGGGGAGGGGATCTAAAAAGAAAAAAAATATGGCTAAACGTCTTTCAATAATGTACACTAAAACTAAAAGTTTTTAATATCTGTACCACTACCTTGTCAAAAGAAATCGAGGAATGATATTTTCACTACTTGATTTTTTTTATGTAATTCAACAGAACAACCTGTGCATGGCATTGATAAAGGCCACTCATTTGTTTCATTGTGCTTTTCTCCTTAAAGCAAATAAAATATGATCCAACCTTTACATCCCATCTATGAAACTGAGTTTGTCAAATTGATCAAAAGGATTCAGCCAGATTTAATTTACATTTATACCAAGAATTACTGTCCATTTTATTACTGTGATTGTCAAAGTACTATTATACTTTATATAAACAATTGTGTGACATAATCATGCAATAGATATGTATGCTTTCTTTGGTTTATGATGTAGCTATTAAACATGTGTCACTCCACTGTCTCTACCGCCATGCCAACCTAATTAATTGAAAAAAATTGTTTAATTTTATGAGTTATTCATCTGCGAATCAGAGAAATGGGTACCTTCATCAGATAATAATTTGAGGAGTCAAAAGAAATGTTTATGTCAAGACGCTGCATAGATTAAAAAATTGTGCATTATAAAAACATGACAAATATGTTTTGCTTTCTAATATGAATACTAAAATCTTTCAAGGTGTGCAAGAAGAAGAAGAAGAAGGGGGAGGAGGAGGAGGAGGAAGAGGAGGAGGAGGAGGAGGAGAAGGAGGAGGGGGAGGAAAGAAAAAAAAGGAAACTAAATAATGTTTGGTCTCTACCCTCAAAGTGCTTACAGTCTAATCATGGCATGTATATGCAAATAACAAGATAATTTCAAAGAGGATATAATGGCATAACAGAGCAGACCTACAAAACGTCATGATGTTAAAGGAACATGGGTGACTTTACCTGGAGGCTCAAGGAGGCCATAGAGAAGATGGAGTTTCCAGATGAGGGTTGAAGAATAGGTTGGATTTGTATTGATGGAAAAAAAGGGACAGTAAAAGCATTCTCGGCTGTTGAATGAAACCTCAAAACTGTTATCACAACCACTATAATCAATGCAAATTGAAGCTATGACTGTACTGATAAACGTGCATGAAAAGCTTATGTTATGTGTATGCAAAATTAAAATTGTGTCATTATGGAATACACAATCCAGTGTAACTTACAGTCTTACAGAATCAAGGGTTAAAATAATTTTTTCATTTTTTAATATATAAGCCATTCCCATTTCTAAAATTTAGAGTTTAAATGGTCCTTTGGCTTTTTTCCTTAACTGAAAGAAAATATTTATGTTAAGGTGACTCTTTAAATTCTGTTTTTAAAAAGAGCAATTAGGTTTTCATGGTGCAGAGGGATTATCTAACAGACTTCACTCATAGCAAACCTAAGAACTGACCTGTTTTGTGTAGATTATGGAAGAAATGAAAAGGGAGCTTTTAGGGGACACTGGGAAAAGTGGAAAGCGGAAACGTTTAAAAACCTTCAGAGAACAAGGACTAGCTTTTAAACTGTGTTATGGTGTTGTTACATCTCTCAGTTAATGAGCCTTGCAAGCGTTGCCATTACTCTGTAAAGTTCATTGAAAGCATTTTGCCTGGCTTGTCAAAATACTCTAGTTACATCTTTGTGGCTTGACAAAACAAATGGAATGTTTCAAAGAAAACTTGGCAGAGCACCTACAGAATATCAGGTGCAGTGACAAAGACAGGCCTATTAAGTGCTCACACAGGACAGCCTGACAGGAGGGCTGTGGCCCTGACCTCTGGTGGCCATGGAACAGGCCTGCGCCCGTCCGAGTTCCAAAAGGACCGGGAGTATTTATTTGCTTGGAACCAGAAAGGTCTTTTTTCTTTCCACTCTGGATTCCAGCTTCCCATTCCACTCACTCCCTTGGCAAGACCTCAAGCCAAAGAGAGGCCCGTTTCGCTCTGGTCTCCTCATGACGGCTGTCAGTCTGCCTCACCTGAACATGCAACATTTCAACAACAGCACAGCAGAACCGAAGGGATGGGAGCTGAAATTACGGTTCCCAAGCACACAGTCACAGCTGGAGTCCGAGACTCCACGACCATCACCTTTCCACCTGCTCAAAGTAAGAACCAGGAGAGCTGAGGATGCTGCTCTAGAAGCAGGCTGCCCTCCATGCACCTTCTAACTAAAAAAGAAAACCCCCAAGATGAAAGAGCCCCAAGCCCCGGAGTACGGAGTAACTTCTGCAGCGGCTACACAGCCGGGTGTGCTACAGAGGGGCAGGGAAACCGCTCACTCCCGGAGCGCCAGCAGCTGCCCCGGGACCGCCCGGTGAGGCCGGGCGGGGGCGCAGTGAAGCCCGGCACGCGGGACCAGAAGTGAGACCGCGCCCTCCCGCGGGCAGGAGCGACCCAGCGAGAGGCGCTGAGAGCCAGGCAGGGACAGCCGGGGTCCCGCACGAGCGTCCAGCTCGCTTGCTGGTCCCTAGCCGGGAGCTGCGGATGCTAGAAAGGACCCCACCAGCCGGTCCAGTCCGGCAGTGGAGCCACCCGAGCACTCACCAGCTGCAGTGCGCAGAGGCAGATGAGCGAGCAGCGCCCGGTGCAGCAGCCCATCGTGTCACCGGCGTCCCAGCCGCGCGGCTGGCCAGCGGTCGCCGAGCTCCGGGGACGCGGCCAGGGACTCAGGAGCGGCGCCCCGCGGCGCTCGCACGTCCGGCTCCGGCTTTCGGGCCCGCCGCCGCGGTTCGGCTAGCTGTCGGGCTCCGGGCTCGCCGCCGCCTTTGTTAATCTCTCAGCAGGGCTGGCCGAGGTCAGTGCGGCGGCACGAGCCGCGCGTCTGGCGGGGGTCCCTGCCTCCCACTGTGCGGGGCTGCTTCTTGGGGAGGGGGAGCCCGGCTGGCGGGGGACGGGAGGAGGCTACAGATGGTGAGTGGGTGAACGTCTTTTAGGGGAGGGGAGTGTGCAGGAGGTGGGCGTCTGGTAAGTGCCGTGGGCTGTCTGGGTCGGGGTGTGCGCGGGTGTGCGCGAGTGTGTGTGTGTGTGTGTGTGTGTGTGTGTGTGTGTGTGTTGGGGGGGGACAGTGAGAGGGAGCGCCAGGGGGGACACTCGCTTGATAGGTGTCTGGGGAGAAAGAGAGAGAGGGGCGGGTGCGAAGAAATATGAGAGAGGAGAGAAAAAAAAATGTGCGGGTGTGTGCGAGTGTGTGTGTGTGTGTGTGTGTGTGTGTGTGTGTGTGTGTGTGTGTGTGTGTGTGTGTTAGGAGGGGACAATGAAAGGGAGCGCCACAGGGGACAATCGCTTGTTAGGAGTCTGGGGAGAAAGAAAGAGACTGGAGGATGCGAATGAATATGAATGAGTGAAGCTGGGCAGCCCTAGGGGAAGGAGCCCCTGGCGCTCCAGCAACGGCCGAGCGGTGGGTAGGGCGTTCTCGCTGGGGTGAAGAAGGCGCTGGAAGCCTCTGCCAGAGAGAGGGTTAGCAGAGCTGCTCGGGAGGTGGATAGGATTAGTTTGCTTTGCTTTGTTTTGGTGTTTGGGGAGGAAGCATCCACAGACTAGGAGCTCTAAGTGAGCGCGCGCCACAGAGCGCCAGGCCAAGGTCCAGAACCCTCGCCAAGACTGGATGGGGCGGCAACCCGGCGAGGCAAGGAGACTCAAAGATGCACCAGGCGCAGATCTTGGTCTCAGGCCAAGGTCACTTTCGTCCGCCGTGGACTGCTGCCCGCTGGGAGCTCTTGCTAGACTCTGCAAGGGAAAGTTGGACAGAGTTGGTAGGCTAGGGAAGCTGCTAGGGACATTGTGGAGAAAGGATGCTTCTGCGGGAAACTAGCACCTAGACCAGCCCGAATGCTGGGAGAACTCGCTTAGGGATCTAATTCAAACAGCCCCAGAAATGCTCACCAAGGTTTTGAAAAGGGAAGGCAGGGAAGAAAGCATTGTGTGGTCTTTCCATAGGCATGATACGCTTCTGAAATAAAGATAAATATGAAGCGGTACCATAGAGAAATAAATTGAGAAGGGTTTGGATTTAAACCTAATCCTGGATAGTTCAGATCTCAAACTCTCAGTGAATCCCCAAAATCTGCTGCTTTCACCCATTCACGGAGGAGAGCAGACCCCAGGAGTTCTGGAGAGAATTAAATTTCCCAAGGGCTCAGTGCAAGCAACTCCACAGCACTCCACAAGCTTCAGGAATCGACCCGTGGACCAACTGCGTCCAGCAGGGACAGACACACTTTACAACCCACTGCTGCCCCCTGGGCTCTGGGTTTATGAGTTTAATGAGAACTTGCAGAAAGATCATTGCACTATTCTCAGAGATTACCCAAACCCTTCAGGCATTAAAGGAAATCCAGTTTCAGTTTGTCTTGCTGTTAAGTGTCTCATTCTTACTGCACACATATTTATTATTATTTGACAATTTTAGGTCCCCAAAATACCCTCTCATGAGATCTCTGAAATTATAACACATGAGTTACTTCAGCTTGTCAATGAAAGCAAGCTGCAGGAACATCCATTGTTTAGGATCCACTTCTGTCGTTCTCATGAGAAGAGGGAAATGGAGTCAGAAGCCTGTTTATTTTTTTAACCTCAACCTTTAAGACAACTGTGATCAAGGAGTATGATGGAGTGCCGCTTTTATACACAGTCAACTTATTCACAGATATTCCCGGTGGATGAAAGAGATGCAAAGACGGACCTGACAAACAACTTAGCATATGGAAAAGGTCACTGCAGAAAGTCTTTCACCTCTCTAGTAGTTGTAGAAAGCAGGTGGAGAAGAAAGAGGTCAGGAATGAGTCTGTCTTCCAGAAATTCTTGCAGCCTCTTTATCTCCTGAGCTTGTGGTGAATGATGGCAATAAAATCAATGATTCTTCTCTCCAAATCATGTAAGGTTTATCCCAAATTATTTTATTCATGATTTTCTTTATTCAAGAAGCATGCACTGAAGAAAAAAAAAAAAGAATTAGGGTTAGGTGGTTGAAAAAAAAAAGCATGCACTGAGTCCTTGCCAGATGCCAGACACCAGCTTAAATGCTTTATTTGTATTTATTCATTTGACCATCACAACAGCGCCATGAAATAGGTGCTATGTGTGTGTCCATGCACATGCTGTGGATGCAGAAAGAGGCGCCATGACCAAGGGAGGAACAAGAATGCAAAGGCAGCTGGTCCACCTCAAGAGCCCCTGGACTTCCACAGTCACCCTGCTGCCACAGAAACTTATCCACAATGGAGAAAACTGCCCTCTTGGATGGAGCTGTGATAATTTGCATTGACTTCATCTCAAGAGTCAGTATCACTCAGATGGTTTGATTTTTAGAAAAGCAGAAGTTCCCTTGAACATGTGCCTTATCTCCCAAGAGACACAGATTGGAGATTCTTCTCTGTGTAATTTAAACCTTTGCAAAAGCATTTGTCTTAAATGTATTTTTAAAAGATGTGCAACTTTAGTAACAAGTCTCAAGGTTGTGTGGTTTTATTTTTATTCTTTGTCTTTGCACTCTTTTATTCTTGTCTTCTGAATACTGTAAACCTTGAGCTGAGAAGCTCTACCTCCTTTTGTTTCTCCCCCCGACCCCCATGTCCTTCTCTGTAGTATTTTTATATGCTTCTTCTCTTACCTGAGATTATAATAATAAAGGACTGTCCTGGTGGCATAGGACTTCCTGACACTACACAAAAAGGGAGAATAGGTTAATGGAGGAGGCACCATCATTCCCAAAAGGCTATCACCAAGGTGTGGTGGTCTGAATGAAAAATGTCCACCAAAGCTCCAAACATTTGAATACCTGGCCCCAGTTGTTGGGGCTATCTGGATATTTTGGAGTTGCAGCCTTGCTGGAGGAAGCACATCACTTAGGGAAAGCCTTGAAAAAACAGCATCGCCCTACTTCAAGTTTGCCTCTCTCATTTCCTGTGGATGTTTGAAGATATGAGCACTCAGCTCTGCTGGACTGGCTCCCTACCCATGCCTCCCTGCCATTATGGACTCTTATCCCTCTGGAACCATAAGCCCAAATAAACGCTTCTTTCTATAAGTTGATTTGGTCAGAATGTTTTAGCACAGCAACAGAAAAGTAACTAATACACAAGGTCGGTCCTTGAGTTTTCATCCTCTGAGGTGGTTTAAAAGAGTAATTACCTACTCCTTAGAGAAAAAGAAAACAATGAAAAGTAATAGGCTATGTATGGACAGGAGCTTGGAAAGGCAGGTACACAGGAGGCAATCTAAGCAGACTAGTCCATCAGATACACTGTTGCTTATGCTGCTTCTAGAAAGGCAAAAGCCACTTCTGAGCCGTTTTCCCAGAAACAAAGTGGATGTGATGTCAGGACTTCCAAGGAGGACTAAGCCTTGACATTTACAGTCCCCAACATGGTGGGTGGAGTATGCATCCTGGCCCATGGGATCCTACCTCATGTCACATCCCAGGGAATCTTTCATTGAGCATACTCAGTTGTCTTATTTTTTTTTCTACATACGTACTTTCTCACTATATAATTTCCTACGTCTACCACTCAAGTACAATGCAGTTCCTCTTTATAACAATAAATTCAACATTTTTTGTAAGATGAATGATCATGCATATAGTTTGAGATAATATCTCATATTTAATACTAAATATTGCTATTTCCTTGCATGTATCTTCCAAAATTCATACGGACATGTAATTGTATTGTGGCCCTATTAAGAGGCATAACCTCTTAAGAGGTGATTAGGTCAGAGGGTCTCTGCTCTCATGAATGGATCGATGGCTTTGTTAGATGAATGGGTTAGTCTCACCCATTCCTGTCCCAACTCTGGTCTGGTCCCTCTCCGTGATATACCATCCATCACATCATAGCACAGCAAGAAGGCCCTCACCAGATGTGGCATCTTAATCTTGGACATCTCACCTTCAGAGTCATGATCAAAATGGACTTTAGTTTTCATAGTTTTCTGTCTGTGGCATTGTTATGACAGCAGAAAATGAAGGCAAATTTATATGTGTTCTCACACAATTTATAGTAATTATCAAATATTTATGGGTGTGTACTTACATGACACTACATAGATTTTCTGTTGCTACTTATTCATTTTTTCCCTTCTGTCTTATTTATTGGTTTCTTGGTAAAATTCCTTTGAGAAACTCAAATTCAGTCTCCTCTAATATTTCAAGTGGAGAAGATTTCCAAAGAAAAAGAGATGTGAGGGAAAGATGGCACACCCGAAAGGCCAGATCTGGAAGTGTAGATTTCTGTATTTCTATGTTGTGTATCACCTGTCCAAGAGGCTTCAGACTGTGTTTTGGAATGTTCCCATATATATAATGAGCTATAAAGAGCATGAGACCCAAACGTAAACATGCCATTTCACTGTCTTTCATACATGACTTACGTATCTAATCTGAAGGCACTTTTTAAATGTGCTTGAATTTTAACTACAACATGAAGTCAGGTATGGAATTTTATATTTGTGACCTCAAATTGGCTCTCAAAAATTTCAGATTTTTTGGAGCATTTTGGATTTTTGATCTTTGTTTCAGCGATACTCAACCTCTAGGGTTTGAGACACTAGCTTTCAGTTCCTTCTTAAATGAAGATTCCCTCTAATTAAAGTTTCAATTGCTTCACAGTTTTTGGTTTGCTTTGGCTTATTTAAACTTTCCAGTATTAACTTTTTATTTTTCAGTGAATTGTTTATATCTTACTTAACCTTTCCATCTCCATGTGAAGTTTCTGAAAGAACCCTTGAATGTGAACTCTTTCTGTCACCTGTTTAATGTTAAACTCCTGCTTGGGGCCTTGGTAGAGCAACACAAGTAGATTCTTCTCTACACCTACTTCCAACTGATGTCATTTCTTAAATATCTAACAGTCTACACAAACAGCATACTAGCTCAGTTAGAACAGACATGATGCTTACACTGCAGCAAAATGTGAGAGGTGTGCTTGGGGCATTGGAAGCCTGTGAAGGACCTCAGCACATTAACTAATGAGCCCACCCTTTCAGTTAGAATCAGTTCACTTGCTAAGCATGAAAACATGTATCCTGGAAAGTTTCGGAGGGAGCTGGAGAGAGAGAGAGAGAGAGAGAGAGAGAGAGAGAGAGAGAGAATAAAATACTAAATACTTATCATTTCATTATCTTATTCCCTAAAAAGAGAAATACTTCTCACTGTTGGAACACTTCACATCTTAGCATTTAAAAATCCTTGTCAGAGGGTTGTTTCATTAGAAATAGTAAGAAATGTGGGGAGGCTTGTGATAAGGGTTGATCAAAGAACACTGGACATCCTAAAGTGTAAAATAATCACAAGAGGAAAAAAAGGCAAGGAAATTTCCTTTGGTTTATCTCAACTGAAAATTATTTAAAGCTAGGTTGAAATTTAAAGAGACAGTCCAGTTCTTTTTGCATTTCTGTTTGGCTTAAATAAGTCTGGGAGCTGGGGCTGTAGATACAGGCAATCTGCGCCATGCAGAGATTATTATCTCACAGCCAATTAAAGGCTAGCTACCCATCAAAACCTTGTCCCAGAACAAATGAAAACAGCAAAGAAAGGCTGGGGGTGTGATTTTGGTCTAGTGCTTATCTAGCATATTCAAAGCCCTAAACTCAATCCTTGGGATCACCCATACACACACACAAATATCTGATTTGATATCAAATCTAAGCTAGCTTAACAAAAATCTAATTCTCATAAACAATAGTAAATGTAATACATTACAGCATCTCTGGTGACATGCATTCATCAACCCCAACATGGGCAAGTTCAAGTATTAATGACTATAGGCCTGCTTGCCTACTATGTGATGTGGGAGCCACAGAGACAGTCCTCATATCAAGAACACAAATGCTTCCTTTTTACTATTAAAATTTAACTCAACTGCCTTCTGATTTCCTTAATATTCTAGGTTATCTCAGACTAGTGCTCACAGTGACTCATCTGAACCCCTAAGAGTTGACAGCAGGATTCAACCCAAAAAGAAACAAGAATACACAGCCTCAAGGAATAACTGATGCCCAAAACATTTCCTATGAGTGTTTCCGCTACGCATGCATGCATGTGTTTGCTTACTGGATTACAGTAAGTGCTCCATATTTAGTTGAAGACAATACTAAACATGTGGGGAGACTGTTGCTGTTAGAAGGTAGAATTGGGAACACATTTCCTTACATTTTCTTTTGAAGAATCAGTCCTGTATTAGATAAGAGATACCAGTAAGGTGAGCAAAAAGTGAACAGGTCTCATTGCAACATTTCATAGCATCTAAAATAAATAATTAAAAATAACATACTAATTTGCACAATGTACTGTGAGAATACAGTGAACATTTCAGTACTAAACCAATTGCCATTCAAAGTAATTTTATTACCATTTTCTTCTAATATTTTCATAGGTACATAGAATCTTAAAATAGTAGGCTAGCACACAGAAAGTACCATTAAATTTTTTTTAAAAACCACTGAATAAACTTTCAACTCAAAATGAACCTGTTCTGCTTTTCCCTGTGTCTTTTATGTTTGTTTTGTTCTTTTTGGTACTAGGGATGGAGGACGCCTAGGTCTTGCTCATGATAAACATGTGCTGTGTTGCTTACCTACATCCCTGGGCCTGTGTTTTATTCGAGCAATCGAGAGGAATTTTAAGCAATCATTAAAAATAAAAGTTTCATGACCTCCCTCTATGTTGTTAAATGAGAGTGTTGGATAAATGAAACAATTGTTTGTTTAAAAGATATACTGCATGGGGCCGGAGAGATAGTTCAGTGGTTAAGAGCACTGGCTGCTCTTGCAGAGGACCAGGTTTTGGTTCCCAGAACCCACATGGAAGCTAACAACTGTCTGTAACTCCATTTCCAGGGGATCCTACACCTTCTTCTGATCTCTGTGGGTATTGTATGATTGCATGACACAGGTGTACTTATGCACATGGAGGCAATACACTCATATCATACACATAAAAATAATATAAAACTATATTTTAAAAGATAAAATAGTAGAGAAGGATGGGTGGCATTAAGAACTAAGCTGCATCAATTTTCTTTGCATTTGTTGGAAGCCGAGTGCCCTCAGTGGTGCTGCAGACTCAGCTGATAGAAGTTCAACTCACCCACCATATGACAGTGTATTCCTCATCTTAGTTTCTCAGTAGTGTGTTCTCTGTAATGTGCCTGTGCTGAGCAGTAGTGAGACATTGATGGATATTGAAAACAGATGGGAATGTAACTCGGTTTGTTACTCAGACTCAATATAAAGATATATTTGTCAAAATAAAAAGTAAAGTGTACTGAAATTCACCTTCTGGTTAAAAAAAACAACCTAGATACATCCACTACCAGTGAGTAGTGGGTGCATTTACTAGGAGGGATTATAGTAGATGTTCCATTATCCTGACTCATCCTTTTACTCTCACCGAATCAGAACACAGAAGTTCAACTACCTCCGGCAAGTACCAATATCTCACATGCAAATCAAACTGCAGTTCCCAGGAATAACTCAACCTGTGGTTAGTAGAAGCTGACATAAATATGTCAGTTCTATGAACCCTCAAGAAGATGACTGTGTTCAGAATTCTTCAAAGGATGAGGCTATGGCTCAGTGATGCAGGGTGCTTGCCTACCTAGAATTCTTGAGACCCCCAGATTCAATCTCCAGTACTGCCAATAGTAAGTCCTCTGAATTGGTGACTGACAGTGATGATCTGTTTCATAATCCAAGTTTTATGAGCCCTTGCCTTTTGGTTTTATTTCCTCATTCCACTAGCTAACATGGTTTCCAAGGATCATCTTCTAGATAATTAGCTTGCATTTGAATTGTCTCAGTGTTTCCATAAAATGCCAAAGATGTGGTTATACTTACCTAGTTTACCCATACAGAGTATCTAGATAATTAATAAGTAATCAGTAGGATCCAAATACATTTTTAATATAAGAAAAAAAGGTTTATACTCCCCCTTTTTAGAGAAAGGGTCTCACTATTCTGTCCTGACTGGCTTGAACTTGCTATGTTGACCAGGCTCGCATTGAACTCACAGAGATCTACCCATCTGTGACTCCCAGGTGCTGGAATTAAAAGTATATACTACCAGACCCAGCCCAGATTATCTCCATAAATAGAAATCTTCTTAAAGATGTCTGAATCCAGATTTTACAAAGATAATGAAGAAACTGGGTGATAATGAATGAATCTACAAACTAGGTCCATTTGTATACAGATTATGAACACTAACCAAAACATCAAATACATTGCTTGTTAAGGATTCTGACCAATGGGAATTTCCATTTCCTATTCACTGAAGACTAGGACCAGGCCTAGCAAGCAATACATGGAATCAATTCTCAGCATTTTAGCTAAGGTCAGTTGTGGTGTCTGTTCTTGTCAGCAAATGTGTCCATGTCATTATATCTGATAAGTCTTCTATCTAAGGACAATAGATTAAGTGGATTTGGACATCAGGAATAAGAGCCTGCTCTACTCACTTCACTCATCTACTTGGCATTGCAGAACTTTCTGTAATGCTAATACCCTCGGGGGACTTAAAAAAGTAGATAATTAGCACTCACTGTTCAAGCATCCTTTCTCTTACGGTTTTAGTGGCTTCTTCAAGCCCACTCTTTGGTATCTTCTCTTTGCTATTTTCATATGAAGATCTTCAGTGACACAAATACCCTTGTGTCAAGACTCTTGTTATGATTGTGTGTCAAATACTCCCAGTCTCTGCATACAAAAGCATGTGCTCTTGGACTGAACAAAAGTTACCGATAAGGCTTCTCCTGCTGATAGTCCCTTATGTCCCCTGTAAGAGCTCATTTTCTCCTTGGAAGAACTCAGTTCTTTCATGGTTCCTTATATTAGAAAAGAAGAAACCTCTGTATGTCTGCCCTTTTTGACAGGAAGAGTAACTTCCAGATGGTACCCTGTTCTGAAATGGAGAAGAAATGTACATCTCATGATACTTGCTGCAACTTCTACCTGGAAATTTTACTGCTTCACAGTTTAACTCCAGGTATGTGATAACATCCTGATTCATGAACCGAGTTTCTTTCTTTAGTTATTTGTAGAATAACAGACATTTCCAAGGTTGCAAGACAGAAAGGAAGGAGCTTACTTCAGCTGTGGTTAAGCATGAGCCTGAGGAGGGGGTGTGACATGATCAAACTCATAAACAACAACAACAAAAAATGATCCAGTCATCCATTCAGTCTATGACTAATTGCTCTTGGCTCAGTCTCTATAACTTGAACCTCCCTTCACCTGAGCAGGATTGTATGTTTATAGTAAGTTTTTGCCCATATTTGTGGTTCTAACGTGCTATCATATCTTTTCTCTTTTTTTCTTTTTTTATTATTTATTTAATAACCACATAATTAGTAGAAGCATTTCATTACAGCAGCATTGACATATTCAATAACAATTTCCAGAGCTAAGATGCATCTCTTTCAAAACTGGCTGTACATTTTTAGGTTTACAGTTGAATTAATACAGGTATATAATATTGTACTCTGTATAAACCCTATAAGACATAAAATTAAATGAGGTTTTAAATTAAAATATACTGTATCATAGAGAAAAACTCATTTTTAATGCAACTAATGCTTAGGTGTTTGCACATGCGTCTCTAATCTCTATATATCTGATTATTACTAGTCATGGTCGGTTACTTTCTGAGATCCTTTGCACCTGGGCATGGACATAAAGTCATCAGGTAGATTTCAATAGTAACGTTTTTCACATCTGCTAATTAACATGAAGCAAATTTTTATGCTTCCTCCTTAAATATAACTCATTTTTTTATTTATTGATTTTTTGGGGGTATTTCATACAGAACACCCCAAACAATCTTACTCATCTTCATACTGGCATCCCAAGTGATACCCTCCCATGCCCCCCCGCACTGGAGCCCATACACTCTGTCATCCCTGTTACTGTCCACTGCGTTGTCAGTGCCCTAGCCATTCCCCAGTGCTTGTCCATCCGCTGAATCTAGTCAGCCTATCTAGAGTTCCTTGTTTTAGGAAGATCAGCTCTTCCTCATCTAGCAGGAAGCTGTTGCCAATATTCCTTTAGATAAGATTGGGGTCTGCTGTTCATTTTCCCAGTTCTGTGCTGGGTTACTGTCTGGGAGTCTCTTGGCCCACAACTCAAAGGAAGGTATCTCCTGTCTGGCATTGTTTCTTGTTATGTAGCCTTTAGCTATACACATGTACTCTTAAAGAATTATAAAATAATATTTATTTTTATGTATATAAGTGTTTGCCTGTATGTATGTATTGGCACAATGTGCATGCAGTACCCATAGAGGCCAGAAGAAAGCATCGGGTCCCAATGAAAGTGGAGTTACAAATGGATCTGGATGCTAGGAGCCAAATCAGGTCCTCTGCAAGAGCAGCAAGTGCTCTTAACTGCTGAACTAACTCTCTGACCCTATGAAATCATATCAATATGGTTCTTACATAACCCCAGAATTATTCAGAAAAAAATGACTAACACATATACTTCAGGATCTCTCTCTCTCTCTGTCTCATACTTGTCACTTATCAGCAAAACACATGTAAGGAGTTAAGGAGAATAGTCTTATCAGATAAAACCCCCAAATTTCAGTGACTGAGACTATGAAGCTTTATCTTAGTTATGTAAGCATTCCTAGTTGATAAGTTGACATTCCAGGGACTTGAATCCCTCCATCTGTGATCAGCAGCTTCACCCCCTCCTGTTGAACAAATGTTCGAACACATGGGCCTAAGGGACATTTCCTGTTCAAGCCAGAACAAAAGTTACAGCTCATTCACCTTCCTAATGCCCCTGCCACCTGCCATGAAGAGTGTAGGACCCAAGTCACTACAGTTCCTTCTATGTTCTACATACAAACATGGGAAACTTGAAGCCAAGCCCTCTTTTCTAAGTTCATTTCTGTTTCTGTAATAAAACACTGACCAAAAGCAGGAACTTGAAGGAGAAACCATGAAAAAAAATGCTGCTTGCTAGCTCCTTCAGGCTCATGATCAACCAGCTTCAGTATACAGCCCATATTACCTTTCCAGAGATTAGTACTTCCCACACTAGACTAGGCATTCCAACATCAATTGACAATCAAGACAATTCCCCACAGGCATGCCCAAAGTTGCTGTGATCTGGGCAATATTTCATGAGACTTTCTCCTCAGGTGACTCCAGGCTGACAACTAGACAGTTAAAGCTAACTAGGTCCCCTGTCTCAGCCCAGTTCTCTTAGTCCACTCAGGCTCCTATGGTAAAGCACTATATAGTGGATGGCATATAAATGACAGAAGCACAGTGTAAAAGTTAAAAATAAAAACACCAGAAGATTCAGTGTCTAGTGAGTCCCCATTCTTCAATGACAGCTCCTTCTAACTGTGTCCCAAACAGTGAAAGGGACTAGTTAGTTCTCAGGGACCCTGTTTATACAGGCAACAATCTGATTGGCAGGTGTTCCACCCAGATGGCCTTATAAAGACCTCATTTTCAAACAGAATCATTTTGATGATAAGATATTAACATATGAATTTGGGGAAAATGCAATCACACAGTAGCACCATCCAGCTGAACCACAACCAATGTTCTATCAGTGAGCAAAAGCTTTTAAATATTTGTAAGCCAGAATTGTGGTCCATGTTTGTTACTAAAGTAGAAGGAGGTCTAAAAATTTTGTTAAGTAAGACTTGGGTGTGAATGGGAACTACAGGTCAACTAGTTCTATGCTTGGCAAAAGAAACACTAATAGCTAATCCCACAAGACAAACCATCTATAAAGACTTTATTATTAATCATTTCCTGACCCACGTGACAAGCTGTAGAACCTTGTTGTAAGGAATGATGAAATTTTCCTACTTCTATGTGTATGAATCTACTCAGGATACATTCTTTTCCCTTGAATTCATTACTTCACCACTGTATTAAAATGGGTCTTATAAGGTTAATTCAATCTCCCTAATCACGAATTAATAAAATTAAAGAATGAAATAACCATGCAACTATGTGACTAGCAATAAGACCTATAACAGAATAAATAGTATCATGATTATTACATGTGTCTATAAGGTTGTTTTGTCCCCCTACATTTGTGGCATATAAAATTCTAATTGCTGGCCATTTCTAAAAATCCTCTGCTGTGTTCGGGCTCATATTTACCTGCCACTTGAGAAGCACTGAGATTCTACAGCTTGTCACGTGGGTCAGGGAATCTCAGTGCTTCTCAAGTGGCAGGTAAATATGAGCCCGAACACAGCAGAGGATTTTTAGAAAGAGCACAAAATTTATTATGAGATCAAGGCTCCTCAAGTGATTTTTTTCATCCCTTGTTTTAGTCCTGCTAATGTGTCCACATACTACTTCTGTGATATATGCCCTCTGTGTTTGAATAACAATTGAGGACATGCAGTAGGCATTAAAGAACCTGGCTCAAGATGTCTCCTTTGGTATAGTGACAGCAAAATTAGAATTATACTATTTCTTTGCTGAACTAGGGAAGGTATAGTGAAGAGAAATGTGTTTAACCCTGTAAATACTGTGACTTATTTTTCCTGGTAGAAAAAGAGGAGGAGATGGTCATAAGTACACAAGAAACTTGCAATATCCATCAATCATATTAGTTTGGGAAACTAAAATTCTTTTGTTTTTGAATAATTGACAACAACCTTCACTATGAATACAGACTTATAATCCAAAAGACAGTCATATTATGCCAAACACACTAGTATTCCATCAGAATTCATCACAGGCAGAAGTCTTGGATCATCTTGGGTGCTTGTCCTGCTCCTAGCACAGTCTGTGACACATATAGGGGGCTCAAGAAATGTTCATTTAATATAGGAGTCTTATCCAGGGACACACACTCTGCAGTCTCTTATTCTCGAAAACTTGGCAAGTTGTGGCCTTCTGTGTGCATTACACCCTGCTATACAAGGAAGCTTCACTGGTGAAAGTTGAGGGATGCACTAGTTTTCTGTCTACACCTGCTCTACGATGTTCCATAAGCCTTAGGTGTAGAGGTTCAACTGTACATGTGTCACCTAGTACTGGGTATCTCTCAGATGTATATTCTCTGTGTGTGACCAGCATGGAATTCTGCAGTAGCCTCCAATTGTTACAAAAATAAGTTTCTTTGATGAGTGGTGAGTATGCTTGTCTGTAAATATAAGGATCAATATTTAGCATATGATAAGAAATTTCATTTGTCTAGACCCATGGCCGAGATAGGGTTTTCTCTAGAATCTATGACCTCTCCAGTGATGCATGTTTGGTTGTGTTTACAGTACTACCCATGAGTTCACTCCCAAGTTAGTTCAGTTAGATAGCTATTGATTACCCCCCCACCCCAGATAACAGTGTCACTACTTCCCCAGTAGAGGCAGCTTGCAATGCCAATCATTATGATTATTGGGCTTTAGGGCTGGGTTGGGTCATTGATTGATTTTTTCCTCTCAGCGGCTTGCATAGCATCCTCTATTAAACTTCACCCACTCATGATTCAGGGACCATTGCAGAAGAGGGACAGAAAGATTGTAAGAGC